AATGGAATGCGTTGTGTAGTTTTTCCCAAACAGTTTTTGGCACATCTAATGTAGATCAAATTAATTAGAAGTTTTAACTTACGTAAGGCCAATAAGTGGAGTGCACCCTACACTTCAATGTATTACCTCGCTAAATCTTCGCCGGTAATTATGCACACCATGGCAACTTCTGTTGCAAACCCCTAAATTGTTTTTCTTTATTCTCGGGAATATATAGCCCTTTCTTACACCTAAAGTAACAGTAATAGAATTTCAGAAATTTATCACATTCCTAATCAATAATGTAATCATGACCTTATTATAAGAAAAATCTGAAAAGCACACTTTCAATTATATGCATAATTATCAAATTTTACCCATTTATCTTTCTGTGTATATATCATAAATATCTGTGAGTATGTAAGCGAAATACCTGAAACAAAAAGCCAAGCAATGAGGGCTCTAACGGGGCACAAGTCATGATGTATCGGATTAGCCCATARTGTTAATGATACACCTAGAAAAATGAACAGATGATAAACGCCGTTAGTAACGMTTTATCAAATTTAATTATTAGTATGTTCATCACTGAGTTGAATCAAAAAGGAAGTTGATCAAATATATAATTACTTTTGTTAGATAAATAATAGACTCTGTGAGTGACTGTTATCAATGATAATTCACCTTTTGCCTTTCTGTCTGCTTTAGACCATGGAATTTTGACATCTATTCGCATAGGTATCTTTCCAGAATTAACTGACAATAAACATTCATTATCAATATTAGCCAGGGGAACTAGCATTCTATAAAAAGCTGATAATTCATGCAAAAACTGGCAGCGATCAGACATAATTTATTGTATATTATCAGAAGTACATATGTACTTCTGATATTATAAACTGTTGCAATAATAAGATGTTGGCAGCATTTCTTACTGTTATAGTTCCTTGGGAGCTTTAAGTGCTTTACTTTGAGCCGCAGAGGTTCCTCGCCTCTAAGAAACAGGCCGAACGAGAAAATTGTGATAACCCATAACCACAATCCACGAAGACCCTGCAATGTGAGCAAAATTACTTAAGACGATAAGCAAGCTTAACAAATATTGAAAGTCTAAATGCCTTCTTTATATAT